ATCCCTGGAAGTATCAATAAAACTAAATATATGCAGTTTTATAACTCCACAGTTGCACTCTCAGGTACATACTTGATACAACTGTATATATTTATTTACCAAGAGACACATACTAGAATATTCATAAGTTCCTATTTATTTTGTATTTATATAATTTAAGTAGCCCAAACTACCTAAAAGCCTATTAATAGTAGAGTGGATAAACTGTGATATTTATATGTAATTAAGTATTCAAGAATGAGAATTAAAAATTGAGCTGATAAATGTGATTCGATTGAAATAAAACAGATATACAGGATTACCATTTGAATAATTTCATATATATGTTATATATTTAACATATATTATCTATTATATATTTAGTATCTGTTATATATTATATAATACATCTAGCAAACATATTAATAAATATGTCATATACACTTATGTTTGATACATACGTATCATTTTATATATATGTCTATATATATATATGTATATATATATATGAAGTGGAAGCATATATATGAAAGTAGGAATCAGATTGCTTAACAAGTGTTAAGTGAGGAAAATAGTTTTAAGGAAAATAGGTAACCTGTCAATAAGTCTGGCTATGTTTTAAGATAGGGTTTTATGAACATTTAAGTATTACAGTAAAAAAATCAGTAGAAAGGAATAGAATAATTATATATTAGAAGAAGAGCCAGGTACAATGGCTCATGCCTGTAATTCCAGTAGTTTGAGAGGCCAAGGTGGGTGGATCACCTGAGGTCAGGAGTTGGAGACCAGCCTAGGCAACATGGTGAAACCCCTCTCTACTAAAACACAAAAATTAGCCAGGCATGGTGGCATGTGCCTGTAATCTCAGCTTCCTTGGGGGCTGAGGCACTAGAATCACTTGAACCCAGGAGGCAGAGGTTACAGTGAGTCAAGATCACGCCACTCACTGAACTCCAGCCTGGAAAACAGAGTGAGACCATGTCTCAAAAAAAAAAAAAATGTATTAGAAGAAAGGGTATTAAATGTGCAAAATCTGCAAGAAGGTAGGGAGGAAGAGAACCAGATAATTTTCATTTTAATAGAAATTGATAATGAAAGATAGAAGTTGGGGCAATTTCATTTTTACTTTTTGATTGTATTGTTTTTGTTTCTTTGCTTATTTTATATTTGTTGTAAGTAATCTGCAGAAAAAGTGGGAATATGAGGGGCTAGAGGTTGGATAAAAGTGGAAGTTTAGTGTTTGAGTAGAATGGATACAAGAATTAACTACAACACACAGGTGCATTGTCTGTTAGCTTCAGGTTGGTGGCCATTAATTTATCTAGAAACCAATTTGCTCAATAAGGTTGATATGGTTTGGCTCTATGTCCCCATCCAAATCTCACCTTGAATTGTAATAATCCCCATGTGTTGTGGGAGGGACCCATTGGGAGGTAATCAAATCATGGGAATCATGGGGCCAAGTTTTTCCCATGCTGTTCTCATGATACTGAATAAGCCTTACAAGATCTGTTTTTTTTTTTACAAGACGGCAGTTCACCTGAACAGGCTCTCTTGCCTGCCACCATGTAAGACATGACTTTGTTCTCCTTGTCTTGATTGCCATGTAAGACAGGATTATGAGCCCTCCCTAGCCACATCGAACTGTGAGTCAATTAAACCTCTTTCCTTTATAAATCACCCAGTGTCTATTATGTCTTTATTAGCAGCTTGAGAACAAACTAATACAAGGGGATTCTCTAAAAATGGTAAACAGTCACCTGTGACTCAGTGTTAGGGAAATGGATAATTCTGTTCTGCAAGACATCTGTAGTAGAGAGAAAAGTGAGCTGAGAAATATGAAATATTGACAAATATTATCAAAATGGTAGAATAATCAAGGTTGAAAGAGTTGAAAATTATAGGTGTGTGGAAGCTCTGCATGGGTTGTAAAACTAATGTCATTTGGCCTTTCAGCTTCACACAGCCTAGTTGTTCTTTGCTTATGGTCATAAAATACATAGTGTAGGATCAAGGATAGAGACCGGTGCTTTGTTACCTCTTGATTATGCTTCAGGATCTATGAGCCTTAGCTCATAATCAAGAGGTAAGGTTTAGTATTATCACCCAGCCTGCTATGGAAAGGGCAGAACTCAGTGTCCTGATTGGTGGTGCTGGGAAGAGGAAGCCAAGGTTGAAACACTGACATTGAGAAAACCATGCCTAACCTAAGCCACTCTTGTTGTCTCTACATGGCAAAGAATGTACTAATTTTTCTGAATCTGTTCAAGTAAGGCTGTAATATTTTGGAAAATTTATTCTCATCTAAGCATTTTGCCTTAAGTAAACATGGTTGAAGGATAGATAATTATTGGTATATTACCAATGTGTATATTTTTATAATAGGTCATTTTATTTTGTTTTTTTTGTTTTTTTTTGTTTTTTTTTTTTTTTGAGACAGAGTTTCGCTCTTGTTACCCAGGCTGGAGTGCAATGGCACGATCTCGGCTCACCGCAACCTCCGCCTCCTGGGTTCAGGCAATTCTCCTGCCTCAGCCTCCTGAGTAGCTGGGATTACAGGCATGCGCCACCATGCCCAGCTAATTTTTTGTATTTTTAGTAGAGACGGGGTTTCACCATGTTGACCAAGGTGGTCTCGATCTCTTGACCTCGTGATCCACCCGCCTCGGCCTCCCAAAGTGCTGGGATTACAGGCGTGAGCCACTGCGCCCGGCCAATAGGTCATTTTAAATAAAATTAAAAGGTATTCTGAGTAGCCACCTTAATTGGCCTTATGTTTGTCATTATTTCTTTCTAAGGGTGATATAAAATGTTTGTTTTTGGCCTAGAGTATCTGCTTTAGAAAAAAATTAGCTTTTAAGCTACTTTTTGACAGGACAAACTTATAACTGAATAAATGTCATATTTTATTTCATGTCTAGCCCTCTCTGTAGTGTTATATATTTTAGTTATTTCATGCATTGATTTCTCCCCTTTCAACTTAATTGTCCTCTTTTGCTGTCATATTCTAATGGAACCTTGACAAAGTACAAATCTGTGAGAATTATATCAGTGGCCCATTAGAATGATTCTTCTAAGAACTTCCTTCCAAAGAATGAACTTCCTTCTCAATTTAATTATACATTTGACAATTTCAATTTGGAGATGAAACTCCACTTTGCCTGGCTTTGACAAAGCTCCTTATCTGATTTGCCTATGAAGCCATGCTGGCTGTTTGTTTAGCATTTTTGAATGCAGCTGAAAAGGGAGAATGTTCTCAATGCAGACTATTCTTTTAAAAATCTTTTCAGAAGCAAAAGAATGGATTAAGCTAGTATTGGGATAAAATTAGGTCTTAAAAGAGATATTCAGGTTTGATCATAAAAACATTGAATAAGTTAATGTATTTTGGTTAATGAAAATATATTTAAGCATTTACTGTGGTGTAAAACTACTGCCATTAGATCAATCTTGAGATGCAAATGGCGCCTATAAGTTAGAAACACTACAAATATCTTTAAGTCTTTTTAGAAATAGTATATGCTATCAGTTGTAATCTGCTATTACATATACATAGGCCCTTTGACACTGCCTATGCTAACTTCATTTCCAAATAGTTTAACTGAGTACTTTTGATACAGTTAGGCTTTGTGTCCCTACCCAAATCTCATCTTCAGTTATAATCTCCAAATGTCAGGGAGTGACCTGTAATTCCCCACATGTTGAGGGAGAGAGGTGACTGGATCATGGTGGCAGTTTCCCCAGTGCTGTTGTTGTGATAGTGAGTGAGTTCTCACAAGATTGGTGGTTTTATAAGGCAGTTGTCTCTGCTCTTGTTTGTGGTCTCTCTCCTGATGTGCCTGCTTCTCCTTCTGCCGGGATTGTAAGTTTCCTAAGGCCTCCCTCCCAGACATGCAGAACTGTGAGTCAGTTAAACCTCTTTCCTTTAAAAATAACCCTGCCTCAGGTAGTATCTTTATAATAGTGTGAAAACGGATGAATATAATGTTAAAAAGAAACTCTGGAGTCATAAAATCAAATCCTATTATTTGTTGCAAAACTAAGCAAACAAATTGACTTAATTCTATTGGAGAATAAGGGAAAAAAAAGATTAATCAAGATTCTATTTATTTTGACACATTTTAAAGATTTAAAGATAAATATTATGTACTTCCATATCCTCAAAGCTATAATGTGATTGGTTTCTTTGCCTTACTGATATGTTTACTGAGATCCAGATTTTAAAATTTAAAAATGTTTTGTTTTAAAATAGTCTTAATTTAATGTCTTTAAATGGTTTGGGACCTATAAGGGTGACTGAGTTATTCTATTTGCTCTTCCAAAAAAATGCAACTTGGAAATTTGTATATAAATTTTCAAACCACCATCCTAACAAAATGCCTTGGCAAATGAGATACTTTCATTGTTCATGGTGGCAATATGCATTAGAAAAGTAAGAGCAAAATTCTTAAAAGCAGAATTGTTGGGTAGTCAACTTAAAAATTTTAGTGATTCTATTAATGTTTGTTAGTATAATTCATTAATCTATTTGACATCTAAAAATAATCACATATTGGAAATACCATATTCCTGGAGGCAGGATTATGTAATGAGTAAAAACAGAAGGTAGAACCAGACTTACTTTGTTCAAATTCTGGCCCTACTATTTAATATCTGTGTTACCTTGAGCAAGTCACCAGACCTTCTAGTTCCTTTGTTTCTCTACCTATAAAATGAAGATAATAACAGTACTTACCTCACAGGGTTGCTATGAGTTAATTTATGTCAACTGCATACTACTGCATATAATATAAACGTTAGCAATTATTTTAAGCTGTTCTTACACTTGGGACCAACCTCTAGGCAGCTGTCTTTCAAAAATTGCTTCTGTGCAGGGCCAACATCCACCAGGGGTCTTTGAATTCAGGTAAAACTTGAGACTCACAAGATAAAAGGCTACATTTGCTACCAATTTACCAAAAAGGTTACTGGACAGAACATATATCTTTCCAAGCAGTGCAAGGCTTTTCTCTCAGCAGGAGTTTTAGAAGAAGAAGTTAGCATGGCAGTTCACACAGGGATTGGGAAAATGCTTTCCACAGGTGACAGACTAGGTGCAAGAAGGTGAGATTCACATCAGTGCAAGCGACGTTCACTTAGGCTTAGAATCCTCATGCAAGGCATATGCCTGGTAAAGGTCTTGAATCCATCCTGTAGGGAGTTAGACTAGTGTCCTACGAGTAGAAAGCATTCTAGTGTTTTGACACAATGTCTGTGAAACTTCTAAAAGCAAAAAGAAGGAATATGTACCATGTTATTTTGAATATTCTTCTTGGCTATCACTAATTACAATAGGGTTTTGGCAAGGGTTTGCTAGCAGACATTCCAAATTGACATAGTTGTCAAGGATTTATAGGTATTTAGTGTTGTTTTTGTGAAAAGATCCAGACATTCTATATAAACTACTTACTGGGACAAAAAGTTGACATTTTATGAGGAAATAGAAAATGTATTTTATTGTTGCTAAACCCCACCTTCTCTGTAGCAAATGGCTATTGATATGTTTTCAAGAGCAAGCCCTTTATCTGTAAACATTTGTAGAATTGGTCCAATTTGTACTATTATTAAACTGAAACCATATGATACCATAAAGCACAGAAGAGATGCTATAATAAGAGCAACGAAGATTTACATAGGATAATATTTAATAGGATTCTATTTAAATCGTCATTATCAGGATTGTTTGCAAAACACATTGCATAATTAGCATAGAGTTTAAGAGTTAATTGAACATAATTCTTTATCCATCTAGGTACAAAAAAAAGAGGCAGAACTCACTGATTTATGTTTTGGCATAGACAACATTGAGTAGGTTATTGTGACATTAATAGACTATCAGGCTCAGTAATTTTTTATCTATTTATTTTTTGATACAGGGTTTCACTCTGCCACCCAGGCTAGGGTGCAGTGACACAATCTCAGCTCACTGCAACCTTTGCCTCCTGAGCTCAAGTGATCCTCCCTCCTCAGCCTCCCAAGTAGCTGGGGCAACAGGCACATGCCACCATGCCCATGCCTGGCTTTTTTTTTTTTTTTTGCAGTTTTGGTACAGACAGACAGGATTTTTCCATGTTGCCTGGGCTGGTCTCAAACTCCTGAGCTCAAGTGATTCCCCCACCTCTGCTTCCGTAAGTCCTGGAATTGCAGGCATAAACCACTGCACCTGGCCCAGGCTCAGTTATTTTGAAACCACACCAGTATTACAAGAGTAAGTACGAGATGTCAGCCTTGGAAGAATGGTTATCTTGCTATTTACCATGGTAAATGGTATATATCAAATTAAGGTAGGAAAGAGGCCTTTAATTTAGGACACAATCCTCTTTGAAAGTTATTTAAAATATTGTCCTTTCTGGAAGGGAAGCTGTTTACATGTGACAGCAATTTCTGCCCCCACAACCCGGATTCAAGCAATTCCCCTGCCTCAGCCTCCTGAGTTGCTGGGATTACAGGCATGTCCAACTAATTTTTGTATTTTTAGTAGAGATGAAGTTTCACTATGTTAGCCAGGCTGGTCATGAATTCCTGACCTCAAGTGATCCACCCACCTGGGCCTTCCAAAGTACTGAGATTACATGCATGAAACACCACACCTGAACAAAATTACTATTTTTGATACCCTGGTCAAGAACACTTCATCTAGATGAGAGAGGTATGTTACCAGATATTAGGAAAATGCGTCTCCTCTATGGTAAACATTTCAAGTTATATTATTTTCCTAGAAGAATTTTTAGTTAGTTAGTAACAGCAATTTGCAATAGTAAAAGAATTTATGGATCTGCGTTGTATAGACGGTTGTTTTGCTCCACCAGGACTTTAGAATAAATTAACATTCTTGTCTTAGATAGGTACATTTGGGAAGTTCAGAATATATTGTTCAAATAAGTTGAACACAGACCCAAAAGTAGTGCATTACCTTTGCAGATTTGCCTTTGTTTTTTTACAGAGAGAATCCTATTGTATGTTTCCCTTAAAGGGTTTTTCATGAAAGTAGACTTGGATAAAAGGCTTTTAAATAATTTTTTGAAGACATTAAATTTTGCATTGTTATTCCCTATGAGTAGGCCTGAGACACTTCTTGGGCCTTGAATACAATTTTCTACCATTAGCTAGGCTTGTGTTTGCCCATTGCTGTATGGACTGTGATTTAGCTGGTAGTTGTATCTTAATGCACATAGTTCTTAGACCTCAAAGAAAGATCTTCATATATTATTCTACAAGAGTTCCTCATGAAATAACTATATTCTTTCAGTAATTGTTCTAATCTGTCTGCAAAACTAGGTTTTTCTGAGTCAAGCAGGGAAGATTTTACTATAACCATTGAGGATTTTAAAAATCAAAGGATTTGGGAGAGGCCAGAATAAAAGATCACAACAGCATAGGCAGGGATTTGTTGATTCAGTGAGGAAAGAAGACAAGCCAGTCACACTTTGAGGCATGAATTTCAACATCCTCCCTAGACTGCTGGTTGATAGATGATACTACTTACAGAAAAAAGAAAAAATCAAAAGGCGAGGCACTGAGATGGCCGAAAGAAGCCAGCACCAGAATGCAGCTCCCAGCGAATGAGACTCACTCAGAGGGCTAGAGGACTTCACCATTCCAAATGAGGTGCTGGGTTCGTTTCTGTGGGACTGACAGGGCACTGAATTTAGGCCCAGGGAAGGAGCCACAAGGCAAGAGCCGCACAGGGGGAAATCACGATGGGGGGCCCTGTGCATCCCCACCTGAAACATGCAGCGGCTGGGAGGGTCAGGGGACTTAACCCCTATGGTGCTCTGTTTCAGATCCTGCACTTACCTCATCCCTCCTGCAACCCAGTCCACAACAGCCCTGCTAGATAGTGGGGTGCCATGGGTAGGTGATGCATATCTTAGCAGTGGCTACCTACCTCCAGGCACAGCAAATTGTCACAGGGACTTTGGACTAATGCCAGCGGGACAGACCATCCCACAGAGGGAAGCAGAATGGAAAGCAGGGAAACAGACCATAAGGCCTGGCCGGCCTCACCTCCACGGAGCTCAAACTGAAGGCCTTGCTAGAGAACTAGGCAGCAAATTCACCAGCTTGACTTCAACCACGAAAATTGAGCTCTGGGAGAGACACCATTGGGAAGGTGGGGCCAATCTCACCTGCAAACAAACCCCAGGGAAGGACCACCCACCCAACAACCTGATTGATGGAATCTGAAAGAGCCCAGCAACGCCCTCTACAGGCTGAAAAAAATACAGCTCCAACCTCAATAGAAAAAAAGTCCTCAGACAGAGACTCCTGAAATCAGCAACTTCAAAGATTAAAGGGAGATAAACCCACGAAGCAGGGAAAAAAACAGTGCAAAAAGGATGAAACCATCAAAGAACAGAACACCTCTTCTCCTCCCAGGGATCACAACTCCTCACCATTAAGGGAACAAAGACAGACAGACAAGAGAATGAATCTGACGAATTGACAGAAGCAGACTTCAGAAGGTGTGTAATAACAAACTTTGCTGAGTTAAAAGTCCTTATTCTAACCCAATGCAAAGAAATTAAGAACACAGAAAAAAGGTTAGATGAAATGCTAATTAGAATAACCACGATGGAGCTGAAAAAACAGCACTAGGACAAGGCATACACAACTTTCACCAGCTGAATCGATCAAGCAGAAAAAAGTCTATCAGAGACAGAAGCTCAAATCAATGAAATAAAACAAGAAGGCAAGATTAGAGAAAAAATAGTGAAAAAAAACATGAACAAAGCCTCCAAGAACTATGGGATTATGTGAAAGAACCTAATTTATGCTTGATCTGTGTACCTGAATGTGATGAGGAGAATGAATCCAAGTTGTAAAACACTCTTCAAGATATTATCCAGGAGAACTTTGCCAACCTGACAAGGCAAGACAACATTCAAATCCAGGAAGTACAGAGACCACCACAAAGATATTCCTCAAGAAGATCAACCCCAATGCACATAGTTGTCAGATTCACCAGGGTTGAAATGAAGGAAAAAATCCTAAGGGCAGCCAGAGAGAAAGGTTGAGTTACTCACAAAGGAAAGATGATGATCAGACGCACAGCAGATCTCTCAGCAGAAACCCTGCAAAGCTAGACGGGAGTGGGAGCCAATATTCAACATCCTTAAAGAAAACAACTTACAACCCAGAATTTCAGATCCAGCCAAACTAAGCTTCATAAGTAAAGGAGAAATAAAATATTTTACAGACAAGCAATTGCTGAGAGATTTTTTTTCCACTACAAGACCTGCCTTACAGGAACTATGGAATGAAGTACTAAGCAAGAAAAGGAACAACCAATATCAGCCACTGCAAAAACGTACCAAATGGTAAAGAATAATGACTCAATGAAGGAGCCATGTCAATTAACGGGCAAAACAACCAGCCAGTAACAAAATGGCAGGATCAAATTCAAACATAACAACATTAATGATAAAGGTAAATGGCTTCAATGCCTCAATCATCGAAAGACACAGACTGGCGAACTGGATAAAAATCAAGACCCATCAGTGTGCTGTATTCAGGAGACCCAGCTCACATGCAAAGATTCACAATAAAGGGATAGAAAAAGATTTACCAAGCAAATGGAGAGCAAAAAAAAAAAAAAAGTAGGGGTAGCAATCCTAGTCTCATAAAACGGACTTTAAACCAACAAAGATCAAAAGAGACAAAGAAGGGCATTACATAATGGTAAAAGGATCAATGCAACAATAACAGCTAACTATCCTAAATATTTATGCACCCAATGCAGGAGGACCCAGATACATAAAGCAAGTTCTTGAAGACCTACAAAGAGACTCAGACTCCCACACAATAATAGTGGGAGACTTTAACACTTCACTGACAATATTGGACTGATCAGCGAGACAGAAAGTCAACAAGGATATCCAAGACTTTAAAGCAGATTTGGACCAAGTGGACCTCATAGACATTTACAGGACACTCTACCCCAAATCCACAGAATACACATTGTTATCAGCACCACATTGCACTTACTTACTCCAAAACTGACCACATAATTGGAAGTAAATCACTCCTCAGCAAATGCAAAATAACAGAAATATTAACAGTCTCTCAGACCACAGCACAATCAAATTAGAATTCAGGATTAAGGAAAGCACTCAAAACTGCACAATCAGATGGAAAATGAACAACTTGCTCCTGTATGACTGAATGGATAAACAATGAAATGAAGGCAGAAATAAAAGTGTTCTTTGAAACCAATGAGAATG